CATTGTCATTGTCATTGTCATTGTCATTGTCATTGTCATTGTCATTGTCATTATCGATTTCATTGTCATTGTCATTATCGATTTCATTGTCATTGTCATTGACATTGTCATTATCGATTTCATTGTCATTGTCATTGTCCTTCTCTATTTCCAATATACTTGTCCTACTTCATTTTATTTTCTTTTCATACTAAATTCAAAGCTTGCACTAGTGATGAAAATGCGTATACCCCGTCTATTGGACATCAAGCACACGATTATTGGCATTTTGACATCGTCGGCCTTTCTCACTACCAATGCGTATCTCTTCTCGCTGATGGTGTGCCTAGTACGTCGCCTAGTGGGTGGGTTCTACCTGAGCACTGTGGCGTTTATACCTACGTTCATTGCCAGTTTTGCGGCGCTATGCATTGAGCGACCAGCACGTCGTACTCCACTGGCACTATACGTGGCCAACGAGGGCACCGAAGCGCTCTGGAATATGTTAGAGGCTCACGGCCTCGTCCGTTCCATTCCCAATGGACACGTATTAATACTGGGCTGCAGCCTTACAGCCTTACTCTATATGTACCGCCAAGGCGTGCACAAGCGAAAAGTGAAAGATGTCACGTTCAAGGCTCTCTCAATACTCATGGGAAAAGGAGAGGAGGGTCCAATGAAGACAACAGAGGTGTCATCAAAACAAACCCCGAACCGGCTTCCGATCAACCTCCGCAGCATTTCCGCCTATGTGCAGCTCTATGATCGTCTACGCAATAGAAAGCATCCCAGTTGTCCACACCGGGAGGGTTGCGGCACCTACGTGCTGCTCGGCGGCCTGAAACCGCTACTGGGCGGAGTTGGACTCCAAGTGGGACTTAAGCTGCTGCTCAACATAGGTCGGATAGTCAAGCTGAAGATGGACTGGAACAAACAAGTCTTCAACAGAAACTCTTTGCAACTTGGTCTAGCCTTGGGCAGCTTCTCTCTAATATTCAAGGTAAATGACATTTATTCTAATTATACCCTGAACCCATTGAAAATGGGCAATCAGGGTATAATGGTTTTGTTAAAATGTATGTAACAGGCAGAAGGAGGTGTGGCAGACCCCACAAAGTATATATATT